TGGTCTGGATCCATGCTGGTCGCAAACGCACTATGTTGGTTTTGTCGTGACACGGCTCAATTATTTCCTCTTCTGTTAGATGTCTTCAGTGGATTATATAAGTTCTGTAAGTTCTATAATCATCATTGTAGTTCTACTCTTTACTTGATACTTAAATATTCAAACAAGAGCAATGATGTTTGGGTATAGACAATCTTATTCGACAATATTAACTCATTTTCTAGAATTCTACCTTTATTTAACAATTCTGCAGTCATTATTGAAGACAAATAATGTTCCCCGCAAAAAGCCATTAAATTACTTCAACGAGATTGACTTCAATGTGGCAATAATTGTCTTAGTTTGTATTTTGCATTACTTTACAGCAAATAATAACTGAATCTAGACATTTCTATTTCGTTTCGTATATATTACCGCATTTTCTATATATAAATGACAACTAAATCGAACCTTTTAGTGATTTCGCACCGAATTCATTTAATGACATTTGGTTAAGTTATATGCTATGATTTCCTACAAAACAGATCTTAAATTATCATGGATTGATATTCATTCTATTATTTTCAAAAATGAGCCGCGTCACGACAAAACCAACATAATGGCTTTGCGACCAGCATGGATCCAGACCAGCCTGTGCATCCGCGCAGTCTGATCAGGATCCATGCTGTTCGCTATCAGTTTCTCTACTTGTTATAGGGTCTGTAAGCGAACAGCATGTATCCTGATCAGACTGCTCGGATGCGCAGGCTGGTCTGGATCCATGCTGGTCGCAAACGCATTATGTTGGTTTTGTCGTGACGTGGCTCAAATGTTCTCATTGAGATAAATTTTGATATAGCATGATTAGATATAAACATTCGTAGGCACAGTCGTTCTTAAATTATCAGAACTTCTAAATGAAAAATACTAGTGCGTGAGAAATACCAAACGGAATTCTCAAAAATAAAATATTATAATTTATTATATACTTGTAAATGAAAAATTGAGAAATATTGGTGAAATGCTATTCAATTAAATTCAAGTAAACAAGATTTTAAGGGAAAATGTTTCAAATCGTAATCTCAATAAAAGAGAGAAATGTATAATATTAAAATAATCACAAAATTCAAGTTTTTTCTATAAATACATGATTTATTTTCATCTTGTGGCATGAAAATTATCATGTTTCCCTCGTGGCTACCGCCACTCATGATATATGTATTTTCATACCACTCGATGAAAATAAGTCTTGGGTTTGTTGTTGTTGTTTTTTGGTGTTTTTATTCAGAATTTCTTTTCTGTTAATATATGAGATGTTATGCCTGTAACTGTTGGTTTTCTATCAACATCATGCTAAAATTAGAAAAAGTGAGTTTTATAGAAACAAGAAAATCAATCCGTAAAACACAAACAAACGCTCATTACTGAGTTTGAACTTACGCTTTATTTCGAACTTCACTAAAATACATGTTGAATAATCTCTCTTAAGCAACGTAATAATGATGCCAAAGAGAAATATCAGCTCAACGTTCACTTTTAAAATCAAGTCTGAACAAAAACATCAACTATGTTCCGTAAAGGTCGCTCCCCTGACCTCATGCCGAATCTCTTTGTGTAATTTGAGTTCTGGAGTAGGGACCAGGCAAAATACCTAATAGTTCTTAGAAGTATAGAATAAATGACAGTCATTTTCATATGCATGCTAGTTGTATAAGGGACATAACTCGAACAGTAATTTGTTTGAAGAGAATTTCATCACTATCACCCTTGCAACAGAGTCGGGGATCCTAGATAAATGGTTTATGTTGCTTGATCATCAGATAGTCGTTATCTTTCATTAAAATGCATCTTTAAAATTTATTTGGTGTTTGTATTAAGCCTTCAGCTGTTCAGCAGATATTAGTAGTGACACCGTATCTATAAACTGATCAAAACACTTTTTATTCTCGAGATACACAGAATATTGTGAAAAAAAATCCTATATTGTGTAGACATCATTGTAATGCAATGTAACTTGACAAAAATTTAAAACTAATTCTGGCCAATTCTGAAATTGAGGTCGGTGATCCCAATTAATTTTCACCAAAGCTGTTTGTGTTATCATATTGTTAAATCAATGTTATTATGTATTAATCATTCTGCTGTTTTTAGTAAACGTTTCAAAGTGATGTTTGCACCTTTCTCTCTCGTCTTGTATAAACACGTACTTTAATAATGGTGTATAGCAGTAGCACCGGAAACCGCACACATGATTTTACTCTTTACCACCAATGTTTTGTGATCTGTACTAGGTGTACTTCTGAACTTAGACTTTATGTCAGACATTTCCTGATTTAGGGGGCTCAGCATGAGAACGGTCTTTTACCCGGAAAGACGGCATTTAATATGAAAGATTCAATTTAAGTTTGCTTAACTCCTCACTATTTTCTTAGTAACGGATGTATTCTATCTATAGTATACTTGGATATAACATCCATTTCCTTTGTAAATTACCTTCGTATATTTAATTGAAAATTGTCTTTACATGACCTTGGTCTTTATGGAAAAATCATTTGAGCCGCGCAGTCTGACCAGGATCCATACTGTTCGCTTACAAACCCTATTACAAGTAGAGAAACTGATAGCGAACAGCATGGATCCTGATCAGACTGACTGCGCGGAGGCGCAGGCTGGTCTGGATTCATGCTGGTCGCAAACCCACTATGTTGGTTTTGTCATGACGCAGCTCGTTTGATTTTGCTACAATAATTACACTAAATTTGTGAATGACCTTTATGTAATAGTCTTATGTGAACATTTATTTAAATTGTGTCGAATTGTGTAACTCTTGCACAGGTTTCATTAATATTTGAGCACCATGACGTCTTCGATAATATAATCATTCCGTCTGAAGTGAATACATGTATGTTCCTCTATACTTATAGAGTCAGTTTCCTATTTTCAAAATTGTTTGGTACCTTTTAAATATATGATATGTTGTATCATGTTCGCTATTCTTGTGTTTATCTTCTTTTTCAATCGTAATTTCCTTATCCTCTTGTTAAAATTGTATGAATTTTCAATCCATGTTATAATTTTATTACATCAAAAACTAAAGGTAAACAAATCGTGATTATTGTTAATATGATAAAAATTCCAGTAAATGTCTAAATTACAGGATTTATAAACAGGATTTTTGTTTTGAGCCATACCTCAGCAAGTTACCTATGCATTTAGCTTTAATTCTCTTTAAATTTAGAAGTATGAATCACAAACTTCCTATTGAAAAAGGAAGGTTTGATGATATTCCAAGAGAACTTAGAACTTGTAACCTATGTACCAGTAACTCTTTAGGCGACGAATTCCATTATCTTTTTGAATGTTCACATTTAGTCAATACAAGAAAGCTGTATCTTGATAAATATTTCTATGAACGTCCAAGTACTTTAAAATTTGAAAAATTAATGAACCATAGTAATAAAGATATCCTTTTGAAACTTGCCATATTTTGCAAAAATATTATGTTATTATTTAAATAAAGTTAGCTTATTAGATTATGTATTTTCTCTTTGTTTTTTTCTCGCAATGATTTTTGATTTTTCTCTCTCATCCTCCATTATCAGTCAATTATTACAGTAATATTATTACATCATGGAGTTGTATGACATTTTTTATAATTTGCCATTTTGTAGTATTTTGTTTTTACATATTATTTGCCATTTTGTATTATTTTGTATGTATGTACTGTTTTATGTTGTCACATGCCCATATGGGCCCTGACGTATTCAAATAAACCTTGAAACCTTGAAATAATTATTCCCTTGTATGCGTCATACTGGTTTAGCATGCATATATAGTAATAATCGTCGTGTACTTTCGTTTTCAATACAAGTTAATTTGTCAAATACTAAAATGCATATTTTTATGTGTGTCTAAATCTGACATATTTATATCTGATATAAAATAACTGGCATGCTTTGGAGTTTGAGTACTAAAAATAATGGTCTTGTCATTTCATTTTTGATACAAAGCATTATGTTACATTATGTTTATAAATATTCATGTATGACATTATACGGTAGAGTTTTTTATATAAATTAAAATGTAACTGACATAATACAGTTCTTATAATATATGTATGTCACAATATGTTGAAAGTAAGTAAGTTTATTATTCAATGTCCGTCACTGTATTGTAATGTATAGTGTAATGTATTGTATTGCTCAGAATGGTGTAGTTTTATTTTGCGTCAGATTAAGGCTTATTATCCTAAACCAGACTGTTGTTGTTTATATGTGGATTTTGAAATAAAGAATTTTTGTTTTCTATAATTTCAACTTCGAAATGATCTTGATCATTAACTGTTTTTTATTTATCAAATAAGCTATAAATTGGAAAATATTTACCCGCATCTGGCTCAGAAATTCAAATAAAAAAACAAATGGTCATACTTTATCTAATATATCAACATTCTATAATACATCATACTATTCACTAAATAACTGCAATGAATAAAAATAAAGAAAAGATATAAATAATTCTGAATTCAATTTCTACTCAATTCATCTTATGAATAATTTTGTATTGTATGTCAATATGTATGATGAAATAAGAAGCATGCCGTATGCATAACATTGATTGCAAAAGTAACTTCAATTTACGAAAATCATTTTTCATATGGACAGTTTTACTTAAAATATTACGCGCAAGGATACTAGATTTTAAAAAAAAATATATATCAGGAAATTTTTTAGCTGATTTGATATTCACAAGTATTTATATACAGACATAGTGCAAAGCATGAAATACATGCTGAAACTAGATGAAAATCCAAAATGAATTCAGTACAACATGTATCTAAATGAGCCGTGTCACGACAAAACCAACATTATGGGTTTGCGACCAGCATAGATCCAGACCAGTCTGCGCATCCGCGCAGTCTGATCAGGACCCATGCTGTTCGCTTTACAAACCCTATAACAAGTAGAGAAACTGATAGCGAACAGCATGGATCCTGATCAGACTGCGCGGATGCGCAGGCTGGTCGCAAACCCATAATGTTGGTTTTGTCGTGACGCGGCTCATAAATCTACTGTTTAAAAAGTAAGACCACAATTGATCTTAATTATTAATCATTCTAATTTATAGTAAATAAGTTCTACTTTCTGACGCCAGATCATTCGTTATATAAATATTAGATAATATGTGGATATACTCATTGTCACTGTCTTCCTAAAGTATCTTCTCCAATATTTCTCTATTGTTGTGTAAGACAAAATAAAGTTGTTGATAATGCCATAACGTTATGGTCGGGATATTTTCTGATATGTCCGAAAACGGGATATTTCCAAATAAAATCACACATAATTAACCAAAGACTAATTTAAAAAGCACGTTTCTTCCTCAAACCGTGTGACATTAAATATTAACATTAATATACATTGAAAGATAATGGTAATACATTTCACGTAAAATGCGATATTAAGAGACGTTCATAACATGGTGCGTACTTTTCACTAAACTTCTATAAAGAATACTACAACAGACAAAAAAGACTGAAAAAAAATCATGTCACTCTAGCTTTTTAACTCATTCAGTTACGTTAAACATATTCCAGATGTAGATAGGTCTTCAAAGACACGAAAAAATCAATTAAAATTAAATAAAAAATAAACGATGCTTTGTTCTTTATTATTTACGAATGTAGATCATCGAACCTGGGTCGGAGTGGACGCTTGACTCACGAATCCCTAGTTTGCAATGATATGCCTCACTTCCGGTATTTTGACGCACCGCAAACGTAAAACAAGCTATGTCTTGATTACACAGCCTGAAACACGAGACGATGTCTACAACTTCCGTTGACATTATGACGTCATTGTATGTAGCGTCTTGTTTCATCAAGGTAAAGTGTGAGCAGCGATCTTCAACACCAAGATAATTTAATTCTGCTTCCCGGATATGAAAGAAGAACAACGTAATAGATAAAGTCTAGGTTTATGGACCGGTTGAAGGCGTCTGGGGAACTAACCGAAACGTGGATAGGTTAAAAAAGCTACATGCTGGTTAGTAGTATAGGCGCCGGCTTGGCCCCGCGACTGCGCATGTGCGGCGCCATATTGGATTTTTATATTTAGTATGACATCATCGTTCTATTTTTAGAATGTGGTCATCCGTCTATTTTTAGAAATCTATTTTTAATCTCCCGGAAGTATACGGCGCTGACTCGTATACACGATCTAGGGCTTGAATTGCGGACAATGTAGGTCAGGTCCTAAAGGAAAGATAATTACCATCATTACAGATAAAAGAAATGTATGTTAATAGATACGTGCTTAACATTTTAATTTATAAAAGAGTTCAATTAAAAAAATACAAATAGTTTTTTAATATGTTCAATAAAATAATATTTATACATTTGTAAAATATACCTTGTTTGCTCTCCTACATCTAGTAAGAAAATGATTGTCATGGCGTCGCGTCCTTGTAGACTGCGCATGTGCCGATCTATTTTTAGGCGGTATTTCACAATTACCAGCAGCTATTTCATCAGCCCCACGCAGGTGTCAATGAAAGAAAAAGACATTAAGTACAGTCGCCGCTAAGTCTAGATTAACAATACCTAGCGGAACTATGTTGAACAAAAACCCTTTATCTTCGTTACTAAATACAGCTTTTCATTACTGACCAACGCAAAAGATGAAAAGAATTTATTATCATTTTAAACGTAGCGACCGTCAAGTACCGGCGTCGTTTAGTCTAGATTCACAATACCTAGCGGAACTATGGTTTACCTGGTGCGTGTCGGACAAAGTAATCAAACGAAAGGTCTTGACAAATGCTACAAGCTCGTACTGTCAAACCGAAAGTGAAATCACTCATGCGTAAAAATTAAAATAACCAAAATAACCTAATCCCAGTCTTTACTCCTCGCCTGTCAAACTATTTATGACAATACACTATAGCCTATCGTTAAACGGTCCAGTTACAACAGGTTTAGACCGGTATTGCTAATTTGAGATTGAAGAACGATGACGTCTAAAAATATACAGCCACGTTTTGAACCCACTCTTTTTCATCAACCAATGAAAAGTGGAGAAGCATGACTGGATAAATTTTGACATTACGTATCTAGAAAAAAACGCCTTTTTGTCTTTTATGCAACACTTTACGATATCGATTTTCAAGATATTTGTTTCATTTGATAGACCTGCAAAAATGCTTCAAAATAACACCAAGGTTCTCGATTCGATTTTCAGCCGTTCTCGAGTTATGGCCTTATATTGTTTTTTTTTAAACCAATTTAAATATTGTCAAAATTTTCATTGATAGTCAAATTACACACAGGGTGAGGATAGGATCTTTCTGGTTTCTCCATATCATGTCTTTTGGTGTTATTGTATTCCTGTCTTTTAAACTTTGGGCATATATTCTTCTGCAAAGATCAGGTGATATCCATACAAATCCCGGACCCGACTCAAATAGCTCTGAGTTTTCTTATTCTTCATCTTCTACATCAAGTGTAAATGATATCTTAGAAAGTTTCAAAAATTCATTATCTTTGGTTCATTATAACGTACAGAGTTTTTTTCCAGAAAAGAGACATTTTACAAGGGGAATTACAGAACTTCGACGTCATCTCCTTTACAGAAACGTGGCTTAGCAACAATGAAGAATCTGATTCGATCTCTTTTGAAATTTTTTTATCACCTTTCAGAAAAGACAGGATTGTTGATAATCACGGTGGAATTCAGGTGTATGTCAAAAATAATATTCCAGCCATAACAAGGCAAGACCTTGAGATAAGTGGTGTTGAATGTGTTTGGGTAGAACTAAGGATTCATCATACAAAATTCCTCATTGGTACTTTTTATCGACCTACAAATTCACCTTCACACGTGTTATCAAATATTGAACGTTCAATTGACCTTGCCTTTGATACTGACATTAAGAACATAGTTGTTACAGGAGATCTTAATCTAGATATATTAAAACCAGCAACATCTAAACAATTGTTAGATATAGCAACTCAGCACAATATGTCACAAATTATAAACGAACCAACACACTTTACCAATCATCTTCTTCTCTTATCGACGTTTACCTTGTTTCTTCTGAGTGGAGTGGCAATACTTCAGGTGTTGGTGACCCTTTTCTTGATCAACAACAAAGATATCACTGTCCAGTTTATTGCTTACTTCACTGCAACAAACCACATGCTAAATCATTTAAACGCCTTGTCTAGAAATATGACCAATGTAATTTTGACAATATTAGGCGTGATGCAGCTGCATATAACTGGGATTCTCTAGAAAATAATGATATTGATGCCTACGCAAACAATATAACACAGACAATAATATCATTATCAAAGAAACACATCCCAAACAAAACAGTAACAATTAGACAATCAGATCCTCCATGGATGAATAACGAAATAAGAAAATGTATAAGAAAAAGGAAAAGAGCGTATGATAAAGCTAAAAAATAAAATAATGAAGAACACTGGAATAAATATAAAACATTAAGAAACAAAACAATTCACTTACTTAGAAATGCTTAATCTGAACATACCAAAAAACTGTCGAAAAAATTAAGAAATCAAAATCTAAACACATCTGATTACTGGAAAATCATCAAACAATTTATTAGGCCAGCAGTAAATAGTAATGTTAAAATATTAAATGACAATGGCAACTTGTTGACATCTGACACTGAAAAGGCAAACTTACTAAATAATTGTTTCCAATTGCAATCCTCACTTGATGATAAGAATAAACCTGTCCCTAACTCTGATATTAATCATAATAATAATAACAATAATTATTTTGATATAATACATATTACATATGAAGAGGTTCAGGACACTCTAAACACACTAAGTGTAGGCAAAGCATCAGGGCCTGATAATATTAATAACAGAAGTCTAAAGGAACTGTCAGGAGAACTTCCTGTACCTCTATGTCGTGTATCTAATAAATCAATTAGAACTTCAAAAGTCCCGTCACAATGGAAGCTTGCCAATGTCTGTGCAGTATATAAGAAAGGAGACCCAACAATTGTTTCTAACTATAGACCAATATCACTCCTTAGCACAGTTAGTAAAACTTTAGAAAAAATTATACACAAACACATTTTCAACTTCTTTGTTTCGAATACCACAATAACTGCATTGTTATCTGGTTTTGTTACAAACGACTTATCAACTTGTCTCTATATATAACACATTTTGTAAAGCCCTTGATGATGGCAAAGAAGTAAGAGCTATTTACTGTGATATATCCAAAGCTTTTGATCGTGTTTGGCACAAATGTCTCATTTCTAAGCTTGAGTCTACTTGAATAAATGGTGTGTTATTAAATTGGTGTCGCGATTATCTTTCTGAAAGAAAACAAAAAGTAGTTCTTCCTGGCGGCTCATCACAAATGGCTTCTATCACAGCTTGAGTGCCACAAGGGTCTATATTAGGTCCGCTTCTTTTCCTCATATACATTAACGATATTGTCCTTGACATAAATTCATATATCAGACTCTTTGCAGATGATACAAGTTTGTATATTATCGTTGACAATCCTGCTACCGCTGATGCAACACTTAGATCTCGAGAAAATTACTGTATGGGCAAACAGATGCCTTGTCACTTTCAATCCAAATAAAACTGAATCTGTCTTTTTTCCCGTAAGGTTAATAAGCCTGTACATCCTCCCCTTAGTATGAACGGAATACAAATAAATGAGGTGACCACTCACAAACATCTTGGAGTAACTTTTTCATCTGAAGGAACTTGGCATACCCATATACTGAATATATCACAAAAGGCATGACAACGACTTAATATTATGAAGTCTTTAAAATTCATCACTGATCGCAGATCACTCGAAACTATATATCTTTCTTTCATCCGGCCTCTTCTGGAATACTCAGATGTAGTCTGGGATAATATTACTCAACAAGATTAATTCGAGTTAGAAAAAATCCAACTTGAAGCCTGCAGAATTATAACTGGTACAACGAAACTTGTTTCTTTCTCAAATCTGTATGAAGACACATGTTTTCAACCCCTAAAAGTAATACGCTATAAACACAAACTAATTCTGCTATATAAAATGTTCAATCACCTATCTCCACAATATATATCTTCCATACTTCCAAACACAGTAGGACAAACTTCAGTATACAACTTACGAAATGCAAGTAACACTAGAAATATTTTCTGTCAAACTCAACTTTTTTGTTTTGTTTGCGCTGTCTCGTTTTTAGGAACATGGTGGGGTTAAGAGCGAGGTTTGGTGCACCATTAACCGGTTTAAACTCCCCAGCGGTCATTATTATGCTGCTGACCGTTCCAAGGCGGCGCCCCACTGTGTTCCTCAGATGTATGTCTATGTTGTTTCATACTGTTTTGGTGACACTTTTGCTTGTGTCCCTTGTTGTTTTCTCGTCTACGGTAAGTATCTTCCGCATTACACTTCGTTTTTGTTTCTTTGATTACCCCCCCCCCCCTTCCTCCGGTCTTCTGTCCCCTTCCCCTTTGTGGGCCTATTATTCTTTTCTTTGAATTCCTAATCAGTTACAAGTTATTTATCATTTAATGATTAACGTATCCGTGCTCTGTCTTTGTCCTGTCCTGTTTTTGTTTGGGGTCCGCCTGGGCTCCTTGCCATTGGTTCTTGTTGCTGGGTCATATGGGGGTTGTGTTCATTGAACGCCGCCGGCTTTCCTTGTTGATCTTGTTTATCATATTTTATTCAAATTAATTCTTACAATCTCCGATTAAAGACTGGAATGATCTCCCTGTCGAACTAAGAAATGCACCATCGCTTGCAATTTTCAAAAAAAGACTAAATGAAGATGTCCAAAAGGTTCCAGCTCACCATTATATAGGTGAAAGAAGATATCAAATAATACATACACGATTAAGAACACATTGCAGCTCTCTGAAAGAACATCTGTTTTCAAAAAAAATAATAGACAGCCCTTCTTGTATATGTGGTGATACAGAACACTATTTCCTCCGCTGCCCCATGTATCAAGATGACCTTATAAACAATGTAAGTCAAATCACAACTGTAACATTGAATACTTTATTATACGGCGATAATTCACTTACCGATGCTCAAAACGAAACAATTATATCACATATACATAAATATATACAAAAAAACAAAAAGATTTGATACATAATAATATACTTTTCAAAAGAAAAAGGTCCTCCAACTCCATAGTAGTAAAGTGACTTTCTTTCTATCTCTTGTTCCTTATCTTTTCTTCTCTTCTATTATTACTTCTCCTCCAATGTACATGTTTCAATAATTAAATAATTTCTCAACATATTAGTTTAATTAACCAATCACTAAACTAAGCAATATATCCCTTTAAAAATGAATTCATACTCGTGCTTATACCTCTAATCTAACAGCAAAGTATCTTAAATTTAGTTCATGAATACTTGACATAAACATAGTATGTACAGTAAGAAAGCAAGAACAAGTCGATATGATATGTATAGTTTAGTTTAAATATTTATATTTTGTGACCATTTATTTAAAATTTGTTAATTACTGATTATGGAGAGAGTTTTCAAAAAAGCTTTACAAGCTTCCTACTCAATCTGTAAATTTTATTTTATGTAATTTATTATGTAAATGTGTGGATTATCAATAAATTATTGTTTAAAACTAAAATTTATCCAGTCATGCTTATCCACTTTTCATTGGTTGATGAAAAAGAGTGGGTTCAAAACGAAGCTATATATTTTTAGACGTCATCGTTCTTCAATTTCATTGGCTGATCAAAATTAGCAATACCGGTCTAAACCTGTTGTAACTGGACCGTTTAACGATAGGCTATAGTGTATTGTCATAAATAGTTTGACAGGCGAGGAGTAAAGACTGGGATAAGGTTATTTTGGTTATTTTAATGATCTTTACGCATGAGTGATTTCACTTCCGGGTTGACAGTACGAGCTTGTAGCATTTGTCAAGACCTTTCGTTTGATTACTTTGTCCGACACGCACCAGGTAAACCATAGTTCCGCTAGGTATTGTGAATCTAGACTAAGCGACGCTGGTACTTGACGGTCGCTGCGTTTGAAAGGATAATTAATTCTTTTCATCTTTTGTGGTGGTCAATAATGTCAACTATATTAAGTATCGAAGATAAAGGGTTTTTGTCCAACATAGTTCCGCTAGGTATTGTTAATCTAGACTGAGTAGCGACTGTACTTAATGCCTTTTCTTTCAATGACACCTGCGTGGGGCTGGTGAAATAGCTGCTGGTAATTGTGAAATACCGCGACTAAAAATAGATCGGTACATGCGCAGTCTAAAAGGACGCGACGCCATGACAATCATTTCCTTACTAGATGTAGGAGAGAAAACAAGTAATATTTTACAAATGTATAAATATTATTTATTTTGAACATATTAAAAAGTTATTTGTATTTTTTTAATTGAACTCTGTTATAAATTAAAATGTTAAGCACGTATCTATTTACAGACATTTCTTTTATCTGTAATGATGATAATCATCTTTCCGTTTAGGGCCGAGGACCTGACCTAAATGTCCGCGATTCAAGCCCTAGATCGTGTATACGAGTCAGCGCCGGATACCTCAGGGAGATTTAATAAAAATAGATTTCTGAAAATAGAACGATGATGTCATTCTAAATATAAAATCCAATATGGCGCCGCGAATGGGGCCAAACCGGCGCCTATACTACTGCTGGTTTCCGGTTAAACAAATGTCGGTTAAACACCAATGCGCTAGCATTTCAATTCTCATCAATTTTAGTGCTGGTTTCCGATTAAACAAATGTCGGTTAAACACCAATGCGCTAGCATTTCAATTCTCATCAATTTTAGTTGATATGTAACACAAATAGCTTAAAATTGAAAAGTTTACATTCCATTTCGTCCTTATATGGGTGTAACCAACATAAGTGTAACCTGACATCTACATATCTTTTTAAACAATGCACATTGACCCGTGTAATAGTTTATAATATATGTTCTTAAATATATTTCAAAATGCAATAAAATGATCAGTGGTTAAATTTAAATGTTTGTGTCGTAAAACACAAATATATATTTTGATTCCATAAATGTCGCCATAATTCTCTTAAATGCTAAATTTTGCTTACTTTATCTATATATAAATGAAAAGGGCGACACAAAGTGTGAGATAAAGACTTACATGTCAACAAGCAATAATTTAAATGACTCAAACAGGATACCGTTACACCCTTACTTACTCGGATTGCTTGCTGTTGGTGGGACATTTGTTGTTGTTGTCGTTGTTGGTTGGACAGTTGTTGTTGTTGTCGTTGTTGTCGTATCAATCAAGTTAACGTATGATACATTACCAATGTCACAATACGTATCATACCAAGGTTTAACTGTTTCCTTACATGGTATAATTTGTAGACATGAGATCATTCCCCGGAGATTATTTTGATGATTGCTATCCTGTCCCAGATATATCATGCCAGGTGCAAGTGTTGGTTTATCAACAAAGTTTTTACTTATTCCCTTATCTCCAAGTTCCTTACGGTCTAAAAATATTTTGACAGCTTCCCTGCTAATGTCGCGTTCTAGCATAATGTGGTACCACGTGTTAGCAACAATTGTTTCTTTATCATATGTTAATTGTTCACCACTCATGCCGTTGATATGTACGTTAATGATACCATCGTTTAGAAATATTTTCCATTCCTCAATATCAAATTCGATTGTTTGTGAAAGACTTTTGTATTGCATTAGTACTCCGGAGGTTGCTGATTTAACATTAAGATAAAACTGTATTGTGTAGTCGCCACTCAGAAACGTTGCACTTGGCTGAACGCCCAAATTTATATAAGAATCGGATTCACCAGAAAATTCAATTGCTGAAGCTATGTTCTCACCAACAACGCTGACAAAAGTACAAGATGATCCTATGTCGCCATTTGATGTATTCGTCACGATGTCCACACTGCCAGTCTTCAGATGAAGAGGCCAGACAAAAACGGGCTCATCAGGTGAACAACCTGGCGCTGCGTCACACTCTTGTAATATAAATGAGCCGCGTCACAACAAAACCAACATAGTGCGTTTGCGACCAGCATGGATCCAGACCAGCCTGGATCAGGATCCATGCTGTTCGCTTACAAACCCTATTACAAGAGAAACTGATAGCGAACAGCATGGATCCTAATGAGACTGCGCGGATGCGCAGGCTGGTCTGGATCCATGCTTGTCGCAAACACATAACGTTGGTTTTGTCGTTACACGGCTCATATGTTCATATTTAATGATTATTAACAGTGGCAATGTTATGGAAGGATGAAAATTATTTATAACATAAAATACCATTTGTAATATGATATTAATTTGACAATTATGTTGATTTTTTATCAATCTATACATAATTATAGCTAGGTGTCTCTTTAAAACAAATGTGTAAGCGACAAAGGAAAGGAGTTCAAAATATTAATCATAACAATATAACAATTAAGTTAGTTTGCAAGTCCTGTTGATATTAGTATGTTTTCTTTAAAGGGAGACACAGGCAAAATTTTCATTTCTTAGTTTTGAATTTTTCATTCCTTATTATGTAAATGCCCTAAAAATGAATTTATTAGACAGTCAAAGGAACAAAACTTTTCTCCGTATAAAGAATAATATGGTGGTTTCCTAACCTGACCCGCGGTGGTCAGGTTAGAGCGCTAGGATTTCACAAAAGTTGTCACAGTGAACTCTGGAAACGTTAAAGAACATATTAAATGAATGATTTTGACTTGTTTCAATCATACTATATCCACAGTACTCGTATCTTTTAATGTAACTTCAAGGATTTGTTCAAGTCACCTGGCATGTTTTAACACTATTCGGTTATTATATTAGCGTCTAAATTTTGTTCAACATATATAGATATATTTAAGCTTCAAATCCAAAATATATATAATTTAGACATAAATTCACGCTGAAACTTTTAGAAATGTCATTTTAGAGCAAGTTGAGTACAAAAGATCGTTTTAATATTTTTGTCATTATTTTGCCTGAATATCCCTTTCTTTAACAGACTTGAAGGAATATGTTTGACTTCTAGTATATATTTTTGAAACCGTGAAGCCCATAAAGTCATTTAATTTACATGCATGTACTTACAACATTTGTTTTAGACGACATTGTCTGATAGATATGTAACATTGCTTTATCATGTTCTATATGTTTTAAGGTATGAAATTTGTGCAAGTTTAATTATTCTAAATTTGTTGGACTGAAATAAGATAACTTTAAAATAAGATTTTACCATTTGTTATAAACAGCAGAATCACAACAAGTATCGCTGATATAGTTTCCATCATGATCGTGCTGAATGAAGAAAAAGATCAACTATGATATAACAATAATCATATAGACAACCCTCGAAGAATATTGACGACAATCTAAATATATCATTAGAGTCGTTTTTACCTTTTACTCAAAAATGTATAGTATATTTTTCTTTGTTTATTTGCAAATAAAAAGCTTTATGATGATTTGAACAGGTCTCTTTTATTATCAATAGACATCATGCCCTGCTTTCACAAACAATCTGAAGTACTTCCCTGAACCGCCCAAACAGGTACTTACTCATTTGAGTAGTTTATTCGACTTGAGGCATATTATTAGTAATAACTTAATTTTTTGTGAAACCTTTGCCGGTCTATCAAAATCACATACAAATAAAAATGGTTGGAATTAGTGCATTTTTTCCAAATGCAAAAAAGGAGGAAATTTTAAACTAGCGAAGATAATATTCTTTCAAAATGCAAGACTAAAAAGAATCATGATTGAAAAAAATGGGGGAGGGGGGTCACTATCTTACTGATATAGTTTTAGTTGTCTGTCCCCAGGATTGGTGGATCTGTTTGTCGAAACATTTTGCCGCTCCCTTGACATTTGCTAATATTTCGTTATATCGTTCAATGTTTGAATTGTAAACAAATGACATGTTCTGGAATTCAGTCTGAACATAACTGTCCTTCGTAGGTATTTTACTTTTTCCGTTATGTTTGCATCCATTTTCTATGCGGTAATATTTTGATGAAAATACGCTGTAACATTGTGCAAACATATCAGGAAAATACAAGTGCTACATCGGAAAATGTGTACCTTTAAAATGGGAAATGACTTATGTCTGGAACATGGTATTTGTTTATAGCTCAAATGTGGGGAAAACATTACGAAAAAAATGTGTCCATGAAAGTGAGGTGTATTTTTTAGTAAAGTCCGTCTGTTATCATCAAGGGATGGTTTTGTCACTATAAGATAAAAGCATAGTTTTCACTATCAAATAAAATGTACAGCAATGAGGATAGTACTCTTACTTTTAGGTTAAATATGCTTACAAAATTAAAAAAAAAGTCAAACGGATAACAAGTAAAAGACACCTTAAAAAGAAGTTGTTATTCTTTGAAAAATTATCAATATCAATATGCTATACATTGTTATTTGATTTAAATGTTTACTTAAATTGTCATTCTCTAATTATCATGTCATTGTTGTGCAAGCATTGCCAACATTCTTTTTTTTTGTATTGAAAACTTAGAAATAGCATACTTTTGTATGTTAACTTGAGTACCTTTTTAAAAGGGACGTCTTGTTTTTAATTGGTAAAGTCAATTTCAGGAGCAGATAACTCAAAATCACGCAGAATGATGCTTTATTTTATTTTAAATTATTTTTATTAATATCATTTTCACTCATGATGCAAAGTTTAAAGCGAATTTATACCGAATATATTTTGCTATCTTTCAGTGAGTAAACATACTGATATTACTTTTAGGATATTCCTAATACTCGACTGAAAAGGCCAATCAATTAGCATAAGCAACTACAAAATTAACATTTTCTGGCTGAATTTCAGTAACTTTTGCGAGTTCCAAACATGCAACCACATACATGCATCGAAGACATGTTGGAGGGAAAAGGGACCGTGCGACCACATACACGCATCAGAGAATTCCTCTTCTCGTTTGACAAAGAGTTGTCTTTCCTTTGATAAAGGAATATATACTTTATAAGTATGCCAATTCCTTATTGATAAAGGGGGCAATTTTTCCACAGATATATCTTGAATTACAACAATAGTAATGCAAACCAAGCAGGGATATAGTGTTCGTCCTTTTAAAGCTGCACGCCTCAAGATGAGCCAAAATATTTCAAGAAAATCAATATTTAAAAAATGTACTAACATTTTAAGAAAGGTAAAAACATTCAAGTTATATTTACATGTTATGTGCTGTTTGAGACTGATTTTGCGGTATTTTATCACCATATTTCTTCTGCGTTTGTAACACAGTTTCGGCTGTTTTTGCATAATTATGTTGACCATCTTTTAGTAATTTTCTTGGATTGTAAGTGCCAATTACAATTTGTAAATTACTTTATTTGATCATCTCACAATATTTTTCTTTTAAAAACATTTCTAAAATTTTCATGAAAATTGACATAAATCTGGATAAAACGTATACAAATGTGTTTTATCACCACAGGGCTCTTTGTAGTAAATTGTTGTCGTCAATTTATAATACCAAGTTTCAGTCAAACATGTTGTACCTCACAAATCGTTTCCTATCTGATAGTTAGCTAGTCCTAAGATCACCCAACAAAACCTGAATATTGACACCGTATCAGCTGTTTAACATGAATTCAGATATTGCGACATTAACAGAAGTGTTGTGTCTTTTAACGGTAGGGAAAAATGGTGCGACATTTAACTTCATTATTGCAATTGCCATATCATTGCGACATTTAAAGGAAAAAAAATTGAGACATTTAGCTGTGGTTACGACATTTAGCGTCAATAGTGCGACATTGAGCGGTAAGTGCGACAATTTAGCTTCGTTGCACATATAACGGCGCCAAAAACATAAATATCAAATCAAATGAGGTGTTACAGTTGCGAATCGTCTGCTTGCCTTTGAATGACACGAAAGAGCGAAAATGAAACCTCGATTTCAGGGGTTGATAACTTAAAAAGTAAGACCGCGACCCGATCTTCTTTCCAACAGTTAATTTCAATCATAGTTCTCTTTAATCAAGCAGTTTTAGAAAATTATCTGAGCTAGATTGAATTTTTCTTCTTTGTCCTTTTGAAAAATTTGCAGTTCCCTGAAACGTCTTAAAAATAAGGATTTTTTTTATTTTTTGATATACTGGACAGACAATAACAAGATTATACAATGTATAAATGTATTCATTTCGAGTTATAACTTTTTGTTGCAAACTTTACAAATCCTTTTAATCCGATCTACAAAATGCATGGTGATGGTGTTGCTAGTTTTCACGCCGGATCACGACAATAAGCCACATTGAATTTACTATAGCACAGTTCAGTCATCGCATCGTCTTGCACTTTACCAGTACTAGTTGCCTTCATTTTTGCAAGACCTTGTATTTTATTGTATTTTGCTAGAGCAGAGGACCGTGGAAAGGGTTTCATGATCAATCACAACGCAAGTGACATGCAAAGTCCGGGAATCGAACCCCGGTCGGCGATCACAGTTCAACACTCTATCTATTGAGCTACAACATGTATATACTAGATATATCTAGGTCTTTTTATTTCAAAGTTATGTAATCCATTAATCATTTTGCAGCTGATGGTATTCATCTATATATATATTTATCACTTTTTACAAAACGGCATTGCATATTCAGGCCAACAAAAATTTGTTCTTTTTTGTTTTTTTGCAAAATACAGATAATAATTATACATGAAGTTATTACTAAAGAATGCCTCAAATAAACGTTTAAAGGAATAAGATAATAAAAACATTACCTTGCAAACGTCAACATATCACATGTGCCGCAAATGATAAATGATATTTTAATTTTGTATGACCTCTTCTAGTGAAATAAAGTAAGTACTAAGGGCATTTATATATGTTCTTACTAACTTATGGTTTTGTTATTTCAGAGGTTTCTATGACAGGCACAAAAACTGAAGCTGGCCTGGTACTTTATAATTGGCAAATAATGGCATATTTGCCAGAGCAAATAAAGTAATATTGAAATTACCGTGTACAATACAAATATAACACACAACGTCAAGTCGTATGTTTGCATTTCTATTCATAACACAGAATAATTGATAACTAATAACATATCAGTATTTAATTAAAGGCTTCTATTTGTTTTCTTTTGTATTTTCTGATCGCAGATCAGGAAATACAATGCTATCATTCATTGTCTTCACGACAAACCTAACAACAAGTAGCTCTCAAAACAGCTTAAAACTAGCGATGTAAAAGAAAGAAATATTTTTATATTGTTACAAGTATCCAACAAATTATGTGACAACGCATTCAAAGATTATAAGTAGCGTTGGCTTATAGAATTGTCAATAAATGCACAGTCACAAATTACGCGGATGTATATCATTTTAATCAAAGAAAATGCTAATTTTAATTTTTTACCGAACACTTCAGAGCGCATTACACAAATAAAATCTGAATGCCGAGTAGTGGAATATATACTGTACATGCGAGAAGATTTTCGCTAAATTATTTACATCAGTGCTAAACAATAGGTTTATCGTGAACAAAATGCCTCGAACACGGTGTACAACCATATCAGTACCCTGTTTGCGAAATCTGCTGAAACGGTACCCTCTTTGTACATGCACATGTCATTTTCTGCTCAAAACAAACCAGCGTTTTCGTTAATCGTTAAGTATGTAATGTTTACATAAAAGTAAGAAATATTATATACCTTACGACTAAGCAAATAAAAGCATATGTCGTGCCTTGAGGGTACCTATGTGTAAAAAAAATGAGAGGGTGCCTGTGATATAAAAATTCAAATGAAGAGAGGTAGCCCGTGCTGCTGCAAAACAGAAAGCAGGGTGTTTTTATGAATTTTACAATTATTTTTGACAATATACTGCCATTTGTATGATGCATATATAATCAAGCCACAGGTTCATTTCAGTCCAAAAAGTATGTCGAGGTGATAGGCGAAGCAAGACATGTCGATTTTTTGTAACTTATTGTGAAGTTGTAGTACATGAAAAACGGGCACATGACAAATCAGCACATAGATAAAACATTCTAGTGTTCCGTGGTATATTATACCTTCTTTCCTTATTATATTGAAAATTTACTGGATTGTTATCCATTGCTGGTTTGTTTTTTAGCAGAGAGTGGCCTGTGCATGTGCAAAGAGGGTGCCGTTTCAGCAGATTTCGCAAAGAGGGTACCGATATGGATATGCACCATTATGAATCATCAAGTTTCTTTATATGTATTACTATGTAATTAATTTAAACAAAAATCCCACCTCACCAATGAAAAAACTACTAAATCTTTAATAAATGATTCAACGAGTCGTCACTCTCCTCTTGAAATATTTCTTCAGGAAGAGTTTCAGTTATTTTTGCCATTTTTGCCATTTGTTCATCGACAAGGGGAGGAATCACGCCGTTCGTTACCCAAACAAACAAGATGGCGGATGCAGCCAAAAAGTAGGTTTTTCACTTTTTTCTCTGAAATTCGTGATGTTCTTGTGTAAAGGTACATATAACAACCTTCTCCACAATTTTCCTGGCACACAGACATTTATTTCATGAAGTTTCGTCCCGTACTTCTTCTGAAATGCGCGTCACCAGATTCGAAGCGAGAGAATTTTCCACCGGTTTGATCGTGGTAACGTACGGCTTCTTCTCTAAAATTCACTGTTTTGTTTACATATATGTATATTAACTGAAATCACTGACATTAAAAAGTTGTAATATGTCGGGATCTTAGCATTCATGCCCATTCTGGCTAGAATAACCGCTGAACATATTAAAATCGGGGCATTTTCCGGAAATGATAACGTATGGCGCACAAAATATCAATGATAACGTACGGCGCATTTTTGTCTGCTTAATTGATTTTCTATATAAGAGAAAAGTTATGTTACCAGTTACCAGACATAAGAGGATGTGTAGAACCAAATAAAGAAACTGAATATTATTTAGTGTTTGCATTATAACTGTCATGTGTTTTTGTATCGGATAGAAATATCCGATCCAAGGGTTCTTTCGCATTGGGCTGTAACGAGTCTTGCTAACTTAAGCCCTTGTGCAGGTGCCAGTGGGATGGATATTAAAATCCGATAGGTAATCACGAGTGATATGTTTTCTTGCATATCATACTCGAATATAGAGCAACTTTTCCACCTTTGGTGATCTTAAAGTTTCGTCAAAAGTGAAACTTGATCCCAAATTTCAAATATCTATGTATATGTTAGTGCTCATCCGTACTGTTCTATAGAAATTATAGATTTTGACGGGAGCGATAGCGACAGAAGGATGTTTTAATTTCTGTAGAACAGCTACGGATGAATACTAACATACTAAGCGTCAAACTTTATTACGTCACTATGCTGTTCTATGAATTATTATGAAAATGAGAAATCGACTATGAACGGAATTCGATAAAGTATCGTCTTTTGTTCTTCAATGAAAATTAACGCACAGATTTTCTTTTAGAAATACAGCGCTTTCATTGGGTGAGAAATAAATTTGGACACTACATAAACTTCTATTTTTCATAGTGCTTCATAGAAATGTGTTCGTAAAATAGACAAGTATAGTGACGAAAGAAAGTAAATATTAATGAAGCCAAATAAAGCTTGACACTAAGTATGTTAGTATTCATCCGTAGCTGTTCTACGGAAATAAGAAACATTCTCCGGCCGCTATCGCTCCTGTCAAAGTTTCTAAATTCTGTAGAACAACACAGATGAACACTAACTGATTACTACGCTACTATGATAATATTGTTTACGAAGTATATGTTACTAACATATACTTCGTAAACACTATTATCATAGTAGCGTAGTAATTTTTACAGCTGTTCTTTCATAAAGATAATGACGTCATCTGAGCGCATTCATGAGCGGTCTAGCTTTAATGATTTCAGACGGGTTCTCGGACATGGATAAAACATCGAAATCCAAATCCGATTTGAAACTTTATCATGGTCGGTAAAATGTTTACCGCAAATTTCAATGACACTCTTTTATTGCTGATACCTGCAATACTATTTTGTAAGAGATTGATTGTTTTTGTTGGGGCGTTTGCGAGAAAAAAAAACAAAATATGATAGGCAAATTTATGAATTGGATGTAATTGTTTTGATCAAATCATTTATAATAAAAAACTGTACGGATATGTCGTGCAAATATATCTGACGTCATAGTGGCACAACGTCACGCTAAATAGAAAACGTTTCGTCAAATAAACTGGAAATTTGTTATTTAATAAATTTATTGAACTTTTTCGCACAACATTATTTTCTAACTTATTCAATAAATTCAATATAGAACCTATACTCATTCATTATTCTCTTTTATGAATTTTCTTTTAATGAGCGACCAGGTTGTATATATAAACACAGGCTCATCTCCTCTGGGTGTAAGCTAGTCGCAATCACTTTTCGTTTTGTTTATGTTTGACGTGGTTCAAATATTAAGATTTTCTTATCAGTAATTTGTTAAAGAAATTTTGGAAAAGAAAATATATCAAGTCTTCCGTACCATTTTAACATTTTTGCTCTGGTGAATGCATTTCTTCTTTCTGATAAGGGGATAAGACCATAATTATCGCACAACACTGGCGAAATTTAATGTGAAGACAACAATACACAAATGTTTCCTAAAAGTGGAGGCTTTTCTTTCCATTCTGCATTTTATACAAAAAATATTCTCAAACTATAAACGTGTGTTTTACTTAGTATATTTACAACGAATATCTATTATGCCACCAGCTAGAAAGATATTGATACCCGATGGTGCAGCATTGTTCAATAATTTATTTCTGAAATGGCAAACTTTTTGTTTCAAATATCTATCATTTCCTACATAAAAATAATTTATTATCAGCTGACTGGACAAATAAAAATCCACCAAGTAGAAAAATGCGCCGTACGTTATCATTGATATTTTATACGCCATACGTTATCATTTCCGGAAAATGCCTGGATATTAATATTTACACCAGTAAATCTAGCCAAAATGGGCATGAATGAGTACTTGACAACATATTACAATTTTTTAAAGTCAGTGGTTTCAGTTAATATACATATATGTAAAGAAACAGCGAATTTGAGTGAAGATGCCGTACGTTACCACGATCAAACCGGTGGAAAATTCTCTCGCTTCGAATCTGGTGACGCGCATTTCAGAAGAAGTACGGGACGAAACACCATGAAATAACTTTCTGTGTGCCAGGAGAATTGTGTAGAAGGTTGTTATATGTACCTTTACATAAGAACATCATGAATTTCAGAGAAAAAAGGGAAAAACCTACTTTTTGGCTTCATCCGCCATCTTGTTTGTTTGGGTAACGAACGGCGTGATTCCTCCCCTTGATCGAAGCATTTTCTAGTTTCGGACATTTTGCTGGATAGTTCACTTTGGCACAACAACATACACACTTATCAAGCACTATTGGTTCTTGGTTCGCTCTGGCAAACTTGTATGTACTGTAAAGACTTACTGTTGAAGTGGGATAGTTCACCTGTTTAAATTTTACCACATTTTTTACTATAAGAAGCTGGGAACCAGACTAAATAATAGAGATTTATATGAAGAGTACTCATGGTTAGAAAACTCATTTCTTAAGATTCTGTGGGTTAGTTCTCTTTGGCATAAGACCACACATATGTAAAGGCCCATGATTGGAAATATAGAATTCTTACACTCATTTTCAATAAACGAGTGCACGGTTGTCGCACAGAATTATTTTTTTAATGAAGTACTTAAAGACAGACAAAAATTGTCCTTAAATACCTCTAGATTCTATTCTATCGGCGATGTTTTTTTTCTTTTTTTGTTTAATGTTGACATGATGCAGAGTCGTTAAAATACATGTCTTTGCATGTAGATTATGTATTAATGAGATACACATCTAAATTAAAATTGGATAATGCGAATAAAAAAAATATTTTCAAGGTCTTGAATAAATCAAGGGAAGTAAGTCAGTTTGCGTTATCCGGACACCTGCTTGAGTTACTGTTCGCTAACAAGAGAATTGTGGGTACGTTGCTGCATTGACAGCCATCTTGGATTTGTTGATCTTCCGACATAACTTTTGAATGTCAGATTAGAGCAAATTGTCAAGTCCCTAGATAAGTAAATGCAACTAGAAACAGAATTATTTTAAGTTTACCCTTAAGTCAGAATGATGAGCGGTATAGATAACAAAAAAGCAAAGCGTAGAAAGGTGAAAAAGGGTGCTGTCACCAAGGCCGCAACACCAACCAAATCTCTGACAAACTCTGAGATCCCATTGACTAGAGCCGAATTAACCGGAGAGGTAAAACAGCTGTTTCTTTAGATACATGCTGAATATATAATTACACCCAGTTTCACATTAACTGACACAATATTTCATACATAATTCGTACGCGATTAGACAGTCATGAATTCTACTTCATGTTTTGCACTAGTTCTGGCTCTACTTCATGTTTTGCACTAGCTAAAGATACTTCAGCGAACAGGTTTTATAGTATTGCTAGACCTGTTCGCTGAAGCCAACCCCGTATCGAAAGTCAACCAGAACCTGACATTTTTATGTCATGCTGTAATTCAATAAATTTGCGTGATCAGGACAAAAACTATTTTAATACAGGTAGTTAGATATATTTGGGACCCTTCAGTCTATATTTTTGAACACAGAATGTTAGATTTATGAAATATTGCCTCAAAGTTTATCAGCGGGCTCACATTTCATAAAATTCGCCGCCATTGCTGCCCTAATTATCACGTGACCAGCGAGAATTTAGGTTCGGATACCTTTGCATAACATTTGGTGACACGTGACCCAAATGCTATTTTTAATTGAAAACATGGCTTTGCAATTATGAATAACGGTGTATTTATTCAATAACAGACATAGTACCAAAAACATGTTGGATTTATATTGTTTTGAGTGATGATTCATGAATTATTTCGATGGCTCAGCGCAATACTGGTCTAACTGCTATTTTTGAAAATGTTCAAGAGAGATAAAAAACTGATTTTATTCAAAAATACTTATATTAGAAAATATTTTTTTTGCTATGTTAACATTAATTATAATAAGAAATAATGCCATTTATATAATTTTTTATTAAAATGTTACAAATTGTGTATTTTAGAGTTAGACCTTTATTGCGCTGAAATTCTGAGCGCAATACAAGACTAACTTGAGTTAGACTCAAATTCCCTCTTGCAATTTGGTAAAAGTGGTACAAATATTTGAGTTAGACCTGTTTTATGTTAAATATTTTGATATAAAGGAAATTATAAATTTTGAACAAAATTGTTTTGTTAATTTAAACATTGTTTAAAATATTTTGCAAGTCTGTAGAAGAACTTTACAAAGACTAAATTCTTTAATATTTTTCTATTAATATATCATGCGAGCTGACTTAAGATGAAAGTACACTTCTTTCTCCTTTTTCAATTTGTTTGAGATTCAGATTTACTTAAGATCTTTTGCAGATTATCTGTGCAATAAATTTGAATTCTAAACAAAATGCAAACAGTTTTGATTCATATAGTGTTGTGAACAGTAGTCATGAACAATGATTACTGACGATCCAGGTATATATTATGATATCAAACAGAGAATGTACATTTTGTATAACTCACATTTGTACAAAGAAGAAACATTTTATTTTCTCAATGCACACCATTACCACCATTGGTGCTTAAATGCTGTGATTCCGATATTACTGTTATGTGCTAAATCTTATTGAATTTAATGTATGTGGTCCTCTTTTCTGATGATATAATCATTAATAAATATCAAATATTTTCAAAAATGAAAACCGCAGTTAGACCATGCTTTTATTACAACTTTTGTATTTACTTTCTCAACTGTTTAGAGTATATTTTGAAAGTGTAATGTGCAAATTTTTTGACATGTTTTGCTGAAAACTGCATATCTTAAGAAAAGTGTTTCATTTTATATATCAAAGTCATTTTACCTCTAAATTTTGACCAAATAACAAGAGGTTGTCAAACATATTTTAGAGAAAAAAGTAGGGCAGTACAACCCACTATCAGGGATTCATAGAACAAAGTATTTTTAGCACATGATGTAATTCAGAATCATTTTTTGTAAAGTTAGATGTGCTTTAAACACTTGCAACCACTTACTCATTCAGATATGAAAGGGCGCACACCTGAAAAGCACCATGTGCACTGCACACCTTAGATTAGCACTAAACAATTAGAATGGATAAATGTTTTAATTTTCTCATTGACACTGATACTATACCAAAAGCAGTTGATAGTCATTACATTTTTAATTTCATTAAATTTGATAGCTAAATTAATGACTTTTAGATCTAAAATGAAACATTTTTATCAACTTAAAGCTGTTTCTGCCACATAAGTCAAAGAGTTTTTGACAATTGCACTCTCGAAAATTCAATGGAGCTGTTTGATGTAAAAAATTATCAGAATACAAGAACTGAAAAGGTCATTATAATATATAAGTGTGCATATTTTTATTTTTTCTGCACATATCACATCAGACAGAAAGATATTGTATCAATAATATAAGTATTGTGAAGAGTGTGATTGGCACATGTTGACACTATGTTGTTATTGTTTTGTTTGAGTTGATAGTGTAAAGTTTATATTTCTAACACGACCCGCATTTTTCCCTATTGAACATAGAAGAACCAAAAGTGTGTGTTATTATGCTATAAAATCACTGTTTGACGTTCTATATTTAGACGTTTGACGTAATCGTTATACACGTGACGTAACCACTAAAAAAGTGACGCGCTGACAATAAGAACGGAAACAAATCAGGCGCAATTTAGCTAAATATCAGGTACGGCAGCATTTATTTGTTAATGTCGTGTTAGAATCGAAATAATATATCCAAATCGGTGATTTTATTGCTTGATAACATTACTGTTTGTCGTTCGGATGCGCATCATTATATCACTCGGGCTACGCCCTCGTGATATAATTCCTCGCATCCGAACTCCAAACAGTGATGTTAATGAGCAATAAAATCAGTTTTGGATATATTATTTCTTAAATAACTTTACTTGATTAAAGAGAGTGATACAGAAGTAGATACATAATTTAAAAATAAAAACCCAAGAACGCCTTCAAAACTGAAATTGTTCATTGTGTTACAGGCTATTAGTTTGATTTGGCAGTGAAACAATGTACAGTCTATCCCCTTACACCATCTTAAGCAGAACACATTATATAAATATGAACAAAGTATAAAATTAAGAATTAGGAAATCTCAGCATATGATTAAACAAAGGTCAAACTAAAAAAAAAGGAATTTTTAGAGAGGGATCAGAGGTTATGAATCCACTAGTGTAACACCTGTTATTTTCCATTTTAAATGTGTGCATGAGAAACATACACTGTCTTTTACTAAATTGTACAAAAATGGTAGTTTCAACTGCACTTTATGTTATCAAATAATACAGTATGAGTATGATGTAATGACTTCAAAGACAAAATAAATGTTTAATTGTGACACTAAATTATTATTTTTTTTCAAGATTTTTCGTTTACAGTTACTTGTACATGATATGCAATTGGCTAATATTTTGCGATTAATACAAAGCACTGATGGAGGTAAATAATTTCTAGTGTTTTCATGAATTCTCACATTCTTTATAACACAATTCAATGGGATATGCATATTATTCTGTACCTGGAAATGAAACATTTAAGGTCTAACTCAAGCATTTTTGTGGAAAATTGATATATTTGACATCGCAATAAGAGACCAACTCAACTTAGACCTATATTGCACTGACAAAATTGAACTACCTGAGATAGACTTTTATTTTAAATGTAAATAAAAAAGGCAAAAAAAGCATAAATTACCCTAAAATTTTCACAGAATGTGTATTTGACCTTACATTATCAAAATATGTAAAAAAGTGACTTTTGGTAAAAATGTCACTTAGACCAGTATTGCGCTGAGCCATCGATTTGTTTGTTTTTATATAAAATCATACATTTACTTAAAATAGTGTATGGTCCGTTACTAAAAAAAGATGCTAGAATTTCCAAAACATGAAGTCCCGCGAGATCTCATTTGAAAGCAGACTCCATATTGGTAAACATCCTCTACATATTTCTCTAAAAATAGTTGGGTACACAATGTCATTGAAGTTTCATTTAAAAACAAAACATGAATTGGTTCAAAATTGATTTGTTTATCAAATGATATTTTTATTTGACCCAAATTTGATTAATAAGGGTGATTTTAGTAGGTTTTTATGTACGGCGCACTAACTGTCAAATTCTGGTAGCCTTTGCAAATAGGGTTGACCCATAACTTTACTGTCGCAACGTCAAAATAAAAGCGACATATAAAGTTATGGAAGCCAGAACTAGTTTTGCACTAGTTCTGGCTTCCATAACTTTACAGTATCATGTCGCTTTTATTTTGACGTTGTGAGACAGTAAAGAACAGGTCTAGCAGTATTATAAAATCTGTTCGCTGAAGTCTCTTAAGCTAGTTTTGTACAAAATATTTTCATATGGCTATCTATCTATCTCTGGATACTGCCAACCCCTCTTACGAGTGTTAAAGGCAGGAATTTAGTGCACGTCGGATTGTTAGTAAAAGGTGAAGAGAAAAGCTAAAAAGAAAAGTCCAAACATTGACATGCTTGGAAGGTGAGACTGAAAATGTATTCTAGTCATGGTTAAAATGTTAATAGTGAAACAAGATGACAAGAGATAAAATAGTTTAAAAACACTGGGAGTAAGACTAGTACTGCAGGTTAAACAAAACAATATTTTCTACATTAATACATTAATTGACACAACATTGCGTCAAGAAATCATGAATTCTCTTAACTTAGTCAACAATTTGTTACATCGAAACATTCCAGTCTTTCCGCTACTTTGTGTTTCTTGGCAACATTACAATTTCATGAATGATGCATAGAAATTTGCAAAGCGCTGCATTTTCTATGATGCTTCTATGACACGGTCATAATCTTGCTTAATTTGATGTCTTTTCATTAATTATTTCTCCTATTATTAGCTCTATGATCCCATTTAAATCGGCAATTACTATGAGTATCCAAAATTTATTTATTTCCGGTAACTGCGTGTGTGTATCAATTGCTAAAGTTTTATGTGTTGTTATTGGCACATTTCTGAATCGACTTTTAACTGTTCTACAGTCATTCTCTGTATCCTGGATTTAGACATGACAGAGTGCATGCAGAAGCTTTTCACACAACAACAATCACACCACAAAAGATAGGGGCTTAGTAGCCAAAATAATAAACAGACGTCTGACAGGTTAAATGTTTTAATGCAAATAAACCATGGTAACTCCTTAGATAATTATTTGTTTGCAAACACAAAAAAAAAAGAGAAATTGAAATTAATATTTGAATCAAACAGTTCTGAAATTTACTTTTGTAGTTTTTACTTTTTTTAAAATTTGACATATCATAATTTCAAATGACCCCTACATTTTTACACAGAGGGTCACAAATGACACCAAAAAATCTAGTCTGGCAGAAACAATCGTCACTGAGTTGTTCAGCTAATGATATTCTTTGAATGAAAGTATTAATTAACAACGGTTGTCCCTCTTAACATTTTTCAACAAATATATCTCCCTTTGATCATCAAGAAATATTTGATATTTCATTTATAGGGTTGCAATGTTTCACAGAATGTTCAGTTCGGTTCTAGGCCTCCTGATCCAATTATTTTCTATTTGATTAATTTCTGATTGCTAATAAATTTGTCTTTTGTTGATAATTCTGCTTTATTGTTTTTAATTATATGACCGTAAACAAGTTTTTTGTATTTTTTAGTTGCAAAACCATTATCTCGACTTTGAATTTTATTACTTATAGTGTTTATGAAAATAAAAAGTGGTCTTTCTTGAAAACAGTTTTAATCAAACTGTCACAGTTATATGACTAGTACACTTTCTCCAAATATAAACTAGGCTTTTTAAACTTATAAACATCAATGCTTATTTTTCATGTATTGCATTAGGTTCGTATTTCTTTGCTACTTGGGTGAGTTGGGACATGACATGCCCACAAAACATACCTTATATGTTTATTCATTTGATTTCTTACAGTACTCGGGCGAAACCAGAAGCGCTTCTGAACAGTTTGATCAAGTAAGTGCTCTGAACACCAAATGTATAATTATGCTGATCCATGAATTTCAATTAAAATAAACCCTGACTGAACAATTTTCATGACAGTATTATTCATACTTTTACACTTAGATTTCTTCAAAACATATTGCAGTGTTCTATATCTTTTCATAACAGTGTAGGGTATTTCTCAAAGGGCTGGTCATATTATTGAAATACATTCCTAAATAAGTATTAATTTTCAATATATTATATATACATACAGTAAAAACCCGCTATTAAGATTTATAAAACCATGCTAGGCATGCCAAGCCCTAAACCTTTAAGTTGGGTCAGGGTATAAGTAAAAGCCCTTGTACGCTTAATACAGCTGTTGTTCTACTTGTTTATTGTAAATACAAATAAAAATGAATTGGTCATGAAAAATGCATATTATATATTTACACTGGGAATTGGTATCATTGTTCGTAACAACTTGTGAGAAATTTTCATAAAAATTATGTTCAGTGTAGCTACTAAAGCCAGACAGGCTTAAAAAATGTCAGCAATCAGTCTGTTTTATTCATTTTAGTATTCAAAGGAATATCATAATAGCATTATTGGTTTAAAAATTTGTCTTTTACAATTTTTATTCCTGTTCCTTTGTTGGGCCAGACAACCCTGGTATCAAGGCTTGCAAGTGGGTTTCCCTTTCAGACAAAGCTAGATTGAACATGGGCCTTGCTTCTTGAGCTTGCATGAAATGATGAAATGTTTATTTGTTTTTAGTCACTGGTTAGTCAACTGTTGTTATTATGTACTATGTGATTGGCAGTAATCCTTGATCTGTGGCAGTTATCCTTGATCTGATTGAGTTTCATTGATTACAAGATAATTAAGTCATTTTACAGCATTACATACCATGCTTACTGTAGATTTCTTTTGTATATGGTATTGACTTGTGCGATAATTGGTTACAATATTCATGTAGTCAGGTAAATTATTGCAAGGATTGGTTATTTCCCTTAAATCTCTCACTAAACACATGTTGCTATATGATCATATCATTTGAATCAGTTTTCTGACCTTTCTAACACTTACTTGAAACATTTTATCTATTGGCTATGGAAATATTCTTATGTATTTGTGTTTAAAAATCCATAGAGAAAAGCATGTTTGTTGAATACATGCATAAACATCATCTTTAATTTCCATCTTTGTTCATAGACAGTATCAAATGGTGCAACTGTTATACAAGTATGCCAATAATTATTGCAATGCTGTGTTGGCCTATTATATTAATGGAAGAACAATCATACTGCAATATTTTCTATACTATTTTATGCATAATTGACTATATTAAACTCTGCAACCTTATTGATATCCAGTCACCTTTTTGTTTAAAGACTTCAGAATGTTGTAAATATTAACCTGCAGTAAACAGGGTTTTTACTATGTAATATATTTACATAGATAAAAATCAATGTCCACAAGCAAGTCAGGGAACTATGAGTTTGACTCCTGTTTAGCACCACTCCGAAGATCAGTACATTTCATTTATGTCATACAAATAAATAATGGATCTAATTATTGTTGTATTGAATAAAGTTTTAGCAGAATTTCAATTGCTGTCTAGATTTTTAACTTTTTTACCAGCATGAACTATTTTATAATTTATGTGCTAAAAATAATAAGTGCTTAAAATAAGTGCTTAAAATAATAAGATGAGGTCCTGTATATATTTGACAGGCTTTATTGTTGATAATTATTAATCTAAAGATAAATATTGAAATCTGCACCGAGTATATTAAATTTGTTCAGCAGTATGTAAGATAAATTTTGTACCTTACATTGTTTACATTCTTATCAAGCAAAATAAAATGTTACATAATTCACATGCTCACACACATACACAGTTACTCTTCAATGAAAACATATGGATTGGGGTCTGATATTATTTTGTATATCCCCACCCTAAAAATAATTCTCTCTGATAAATGTATGGGATATAAAGAACTCGACTTTCTCTGTAATAAATTGGCATAGTGCCAGCAGAAATCTAAGTATGCAGTATATACATATGTTGTAATTCATGTAGACTGTATAACACAAATAATAGATCTGGTAGCTGCTACAGAAGTTGATTCTTCTACACTGCTTCACAAAAACTACTGCTCCTGTGTTGTGTAGAAATGGTAGTTTTACCTCATTCTGTTTTACAGAATTGTGTCTTGACATTCTATGTTTACAGATCTCCAAACTTAAATACATGTACATGATCAAGCTCTGATAAAACAGTGTTGTTAGCTAAATGTTTTGCATAAAATAATATTACATATATAGAACAGGAACATGTGTTCAATTCTTTATGATGAATAAATCAGGTTCTGTTCTGATTTGATATAGAAAATAATGATAAAAGTTCTGTCACCTCCTGACTAGAGCATCTGTACCTAATAATTACTAATAATAAATAACAATTTATAGACCCAGAAATTTTACATATGTAGTAGATCTTAATTTTTGTTATGTCAAAACAAAATAGTTATGTTTATCTTAAAAAATTTAGAAAGATATTTAACTTTTTATGAGAATTATTTAAGCTAAGGTGATAATAAGATTTTCAATACCTATAGATTATTTACCCTGTTTATATTGTATGTAAAGAAAGGATTAACTAAACTATATTTGACCTAAAAATTCTTTTCACAGTTGACTTACTTCAGGTTTTTAGATATAAATCTCTGTTCTTAATATCCAGTCTGCCAAAAGTTCAACATTTCCAAACATGTGACATGATATCATGAAATCTAAATATAAAATTTATAGAACTTAACAATTTTGATGACTGCAGATTTGAGGAAAATTTAACAATTTAACTATCCCTTTTAAATATTGCACACAGAAAGTCATATTAGAATTCAGATTTTCAAACAAAAGCAAACTTGTGTAATACATGGGTACTAGATTTCATACATTTGCCTTAAGTACACCTAAAAGCACTCTAATATACTATATAGAACCAGTTAAAATGATGGAGAGTTTTCAGGCTTTCAAAAATTTTGAACTTGCACACATGGTAATACAGATATTAATTTTCCCGTATGCTTAATAAGATTTGGGAGAGGAATATTAATAGGGAACGATCTGAGATAAGCATCGTATACGTCACTGATAAGAGACCTGTTCTAAAAATAGCCACATAGCGATAAGTTTCGGACAAGGAAACTGGTTAATCTACATGTAGATCATACAACATAATGGTTACGAATACTTTTATTCACATTTCTCTCAATGAAAATGATGTTGCTGGAGTTAAACTTGCGTAAAGCATGATTGAGATGGTTTAAAAAAAGGTTGATATGGTGAAAAAGAAATAACTTTCGGGGCAATACTTTCCCTGCATGTCAATTTGAGAAAAATGCCGGCGCTTGGCAATTTGTTTCTGTTTCACTTTTAAGAAATTGGGACTAAAAATGAAAGAGTATCTGTCTGTCCCAGATATACCGTACAAAATTTTGTCTATATAAATACGTAGATTGGAGATGTCATGAATCTATCCACCAAAGTGCTAAGAGTATTAGATTAATGATTAATACAGGGCTACAGATAACATTTTGTATATATTGGGTGATTACCCCTTGTTTTGTGATCTATTGGGTTTTTTCTATTTTCTTAGAGTTATTTCTGTATTTTTTACCCTACCCTCTCTAACCAATTTGGGTTCTAAGGCACGAGTTCATGTATTTTACCCAAAATTTCTAACTGTTGTATGTTTTGTATGGTCATAGAAAAGCTACTTACTACTATCCTTTATGGTTTATTGGCCTATGAGATTTCCAAGCTGCCTGATATAATTCAAAGGTTAAAAAAGTCTGAAACAGTATGATCTGCCTGATGTACGGCGTTAAGTATAACTTACGTCTTTACCCACCAGTTCCAATCTCGTTTGCATAAATAAGAATTTATTTACTTTTTCTCACCCTTAGTTATTATTTCTATTGGGTTTTTTTACATAATAATTGGGTAATAATGCAAATACCCCTGTTATCTGTAGCCCTGATTAATATCTTAATTCTTTAATAATTTTAGAATAAGCAAAACTCTGCATTTTTCCTATTTTACATAATAAAAAATGCCGATTCTAGTATTTATTTTATCAGAAATAATGTATACGTACAGGCATGCTTGCATGTATAATTACCTGAATTGACAATTGAGGTCCGTGATTTAACATACACTGTTTACGTATAGACAATAAAATACATTTGTTTTTTATTTTATGTCTCACACAAAATATTTGTTGTTAAAATCATCGCCAATTACTGGTGCATTTTTTAAACTTTGTTTTAAAGATGTATATATAGAGGTCAGAGCAGATTGTGACATATGTTTAAATTTAACTTAAAAAAGTACAGTGTGTAGTGTCCCTTTTCTTTTCACACTAAATTCCATTTCCAACTTATTTGCTTTCTACAATTGTATTAAATATCTTAAAATATTGCATGTAAACAAAGTAAATGTATGCTGATTAACATCATGTATAATGTGTACTCCCTAATCCCTTGTCCGAAAGTCAGTACAGGTGATGTAGTGGTGATAAGGTAAAATCTATTTTTAGAACAGTGCTACCTTCAGATCGAAGGCTATTGAAGAATATACAGCGAACCAGGTATTGTAAGATGTAGATTTACCTGATACAATGATACAAGTGAGGTGGACTGGAGAGATTGTTTTGATGTGTAGTATATCTGTTGCCAATTATTGTAGAGAGGTACATTCCTGGCCTGTATTTTACCCTGGTGTTTTCTCTGCCTTGTTATTTTCTTGTTTTCTCTTGGATTAGTGAGAGAGGGGATTTATTATCATGATGGATCTGTTTTGTATGCACTTTGAGGTATTCACAATTTTTCAATTTAGTATTTCTTCTATAGCATTATATTGAAAAAAAATACATTTAAGTGTTTCTGAGAACAATCAAGAAAACTTTGAGGTTTCACATTGTAATGTTGTATTACAAACATCACCTACTTGTAATCTCT